CCCGCAGGACAACCGGGACCATCCGGATCATTGTTTCAGCGCACTGGAAACAAAAACTTAAAAAGGTATAGACCAGTTCATTCTAAAATTAGATCTGAGAGTGCACATACACTGACGTTAGATAATGGAGTTGTGCTTAGGAAATCGGGAGTGGCCACGAAACCCATATCGAAGAAAAAATCAAGAACCGCAGCCAAATCCGTACTACCGGTACCAGTGATCGAAGCGAACAAAAGGGCTACTCATACAACACTACCACCGCCAACCCCGCGCGACGTGAAGGAACGATGGACCAAGCGGACTGCGGAAAAGAATCGGAAGAGGACCGGGCGCCGATTCGAAGAAAATTACTCCGAATCGGAGGACAGTGAGGATCTACCGATTATCTCGGTAAAACGTACTCCACAACAAGTAACGACCACTCCGGAAGCACAAGTAGAACGCTCAGCAACAGCAATACCAGAGGCTGAAGCTGAAACCGACCAGGACACCATTCCGGCACTAGGCGGCGAGTTGGATGCTCCAAATCCAGGGGTGCACGCAACGGAGAATCCAGGGGTGCAAAACCCAGCAAACCCGAAAACCACCGGCAAGAAAAAGGGAGCCTCATCCAGGAAAGCTCGGCTGGTCTCTTACAGTAGCCAGGGGGATAGCCAAGACGAGACGTCATCCACAACGTCTAGAAGAAGTGGGCGGAAAAGAACGGCGGTCACCAAAATGGGGGGCGTAATGATCGACTTTATCAATCAGAACAAGGAAGGGAAAAATTGATCGTCGAATCCTTTAAACTTCAAACTTTGTTAAACTGTTCAAACCCAGGTAGAGGGTGAGTCACTACTGGCTTAAAACTCAATCGTTATCACTATCAGTGATCCTTTAGTTATTAACAAAAAGTCGTTATTATAAAGTCTGAGTTGTATACTGTAACATGGAGCTAGTAATTCTTTTCAACTATCTGCAATCAATCAACCATCTATTTTTCTAACCATCTATTTCAGTCATTAAAGTAAACCTGCGAAATTATTCTACTTAACTAAAGTTTTCATTATCGAAGGAGAAGTGTCGTATTGAGTAATTTAGTTCATTTCCAAAGCTGTCAATCAAATGTTCACTATTGGTGCTAGACTAATTGATTAGCAGGTGTTTGTCCTTGGATCTGTCTGTCACCCTTGGATATTGTTTCTAACCACTCTTGATGCTAACTTTGCAAGATTAAGTTACTGTATAAATATCTCGGAATTAACAATTGCTCGACGACAGTTTTACCATCTCGACATCAGTTTGCATCAAAAACTGTTGTCCAGTTTGCTTGTTTTACTATGGCTGTCGAACATATTTAAGTTGTGCTTTTTTCCATATCCTTTTATCACACCACGTGAAAAAACGACATCAGTTTGAAAAAAAGTATTTGTGTTATTAGAACAATAATCGGAAGATTCGGTACTATTTGCACAATAAGCGGCTATAATTGCTGCCTTTTTCTTTTTTTCTCCTATGACCATGTTCTGCTTGAATCAAATTTTTCTCAATTAAGAGAATAATCTTGTTTTGTTCAACGGATTTGGAAGAACTGAGTAACAAATGATCCCATAGACTTATGACAAATTTATCCTAGAACAAAATTGCTTTTGATTTGTCAATAATGAAGCAGCAATAAGATAACAAGGTTAGAACATTGAATATAGATAACACAATTAAATCTTTTTATAAGCCCACGATTAATGAGCTATATTGTAGTTCGAGAGACAACTCAAGAAATCTAAAAAAGTGTATTCGGTAGCTCCACAATTTGACAACAAGTTTTCTTCATTTTGAGGAGTGTTCAAATATTTGGGTACTATTGTTTAGATGACAATTTATTAAGTATCGAATGTTTATACACAGAGCCGAAGCTGTGCTCCGCATCATTTTCGCTACAACAATTATAGGATGAGCGCACCATGACGCTAAAAAATTAGCAAACAAACTTCTAACAATGTTGCTATTAAAAAAAGAAGTGGAAAACGACAAAAAGTTTTTAAAATGATTTTTTCCGTGTTTTGATTTATATAAGTTTTTGAAAAATTCCTATGGGTTAGGGCATTCAAAAAATTGGCCCCAGAGTCTTAAAAGTACTATCGGACATTTTATGTGAAAAAGTTGTAAGTAAGCCGACAGAGCTTAAATTGACAACTATAAGTCGAAAAATCGTCAGTAGTAAGTTAATATCAAAACTCTATCATTATAAACTAATGGTTTTGGTTCATTAAATCGAGCATGTCAGCAGCACAACTGTATCATAGGTGATTCAACTGATTTTGTTAAACTAATTGTTAACCCGAAAAAATTCTATATACCGCGCTTGTTACTCGCAGGTGCAAAAAATTATCAAAACATATTCAATTGAAATTCAAAAAGTTAGGTATTGAATTGTAGGATAAATTGAGACGTCTTAAAATTTGTTTATGAAGTTTGACATTGAAAGAAAAGTTATGCAACTTGTAGAACAATTTTCATGAACATTGAGAAAAGTTTCCTGTTGTGGCTTTTCGAAATGAATATCTGGAGTAATTCCACTAATTTCTTGCAAACGTTGAGAGACGAAAATGAAACAAGACTGCTCGTATCAGGGCGAAGCCCTGAATGTTCCGACTGCCTTTTAAGGTTTATGGAGCACTAATAACATTAAAAAACTCAATGAAATAAAACGAAATGAAAAAAAAAATTCTAAAATTTTAAAATTTTTATGAAAATCATCCCCCCACACGCCATATAAAGTACAAAAGGATAGATTTCGCTCCTTGTAAAAAATCAATTATGGCAAATAAGCTTCGTTCAACCAATTTGGAACGATATCTAAGACCGATTAAATCTCCGCTGACGCGTTAATAGCGCGAAATATATCGCGCGTTAATTGTCCCAAATTGGCCAAAATGGCAACCTTTAAACCCCCATAACTTTACAAAAAATGATCACAGGTGAAATATTTTTTTCAAATTTAAGCTCAGGACAACAATGGCTTTCGAATGATATAAAAAAATTCCGTCAAAAATGGCTAGTTAAAAAGTCGAAATTTGTCTGAAGAAAAACAAAAACCCTCCCCGAGCACAAATATTCCGTTACTTTCGTATCAAAAGTCGGAACAAAAATAGCGAGAATGAAAAATACAAAATAGCTAAAGTAAGTGATTTTTCTTTTAAGCACCTCCAATTTTCAATTTTCTCATAATTTGAATTTCTCAAACGTTTGAAAGCACCTTTTTATAAATTGGAACCGTTTTGTTTAAATATAGCACGGATTCCATGCAATATTTCTTAAAGCTGATTCACAAGCAGGGTTTTTATTTGCAGCTAAGCGAAGTGTACTATGAAATTTCTAGTTGTTCCAGTTTTCGGAGAAAGTGGCAGAATGTTTGTGCTCGAATTTGGTTTTTATGTAGGTAAAGTTTGATTGCTAATGAAACAATTTCACAGATATTTAATTTATTTTAAAAATCTGCAAAGTATGAACTCCGTGAACTTAAAATTAAAAAGAAATTTTTTCTTTTATCAATTTTTGCGAATATTGCAGTTTAAAAATTATCAATTTGACCGACTTGAATTTCCTTCTACGCGTAGTGTACGAGGAAAAAAGCCTGCTCACTTGGTCCAAGTTAATTGATACACGCTAGTCAGTCCACAAAACTGATGACTAGATGAGAAATTTTTTTTTGAAATAATTCATTTTTGAACCGAACACTTCACCCGATTTCTTAAAGAGCTCCGTACTGGTTTGAGAAAGCTTGTTGTGCTTAGGATGAATCCCGTGCTTTTAAATATGCTGAAATTGATGTAGCAGCATTTTTCTAAAATTGTTTTGAAAATCAAAGAGAGCTTTAGGTGATTATGAAAGTTTCTAGAAAACTGCTAATCTAAAAACAAGTAGCTATTTGAAGAGCGAAACACAGACCAATCAATTCATTTTTTGGGTGAGCCTACTTTATAGAAATTAAATAAAACCAATGTACATTTTGTTTGAAAATGTGGTTACAGAGTTTTCCGAGTTAATGCTGAGCAAATGGCCATTCTTTGTGTTGCACTCAAGTTGATTTACTTTGATTATTCAGAGGTCCACGGATTCCCGAGGGTTCCCTGAAGTAATGTTTGGAGAAAATAGGGGAATTTTGAATGATGAATCCTTGTGTTGAGTGGCGCATACGATCTGAAACAGGTGGAGAAGAATCCTTGTTACCTGTTGTTTCAGCCCCACAGACCATCCACTAGGCGTACGTTTCAATTAAAAAACTTCTCTTTAACTCTATCCCCCTTTTGCAGAAGGGGATATTCGTTATTAGGCATAAAACCCTCATGTACTTGACCGTTGATTTATCTTTATAGGGGGGATATTCATTACTAGGTACCCGAGGAGGGGATATAGTTAAAGGGATCCAAAAACGTTCAAAATAGCCAATTGGCCACGTTTTCACCATGGTTTATTTCAAAGGGACTCTTCAAGATATTATTGAATAAGTTTATCATCAGAGCAAATATCATCAAAAAACAATCACAATTCATAGATAAGTTGCTTAACCTGTTCGATAAAATGATTCATTGAAAACCGTTTTCAATCGTGAAATTGATTTTGGGAAATTTATGTCCAAAATGGAAATCCTTTTTTATCAATATAAAAAGACGAAGCGAGCGGATGGAAAAGTATTCATAAACAGGTTATTACAATTGATTTGTTAACTACCGCAGCCAATCAGATGTGCTCCTATAGATATAATAGATTGTAAAAATATCCCTTGCAATAAAAATATCAATTACATCACATGTAATTGGTCTTGTCACACCTTATAGAAACAACTGTTTTTTTTTCACTTTAGTAGTATTCAAATCTTAACTTTTCCGAATAGTCATCTCACATTATTCTAATTAAACTTTTTTCCCGATTTTTTCTAAAAATAACCTGAGAACAAACAAAAAATTCCCCGAGTTTTCTTTCCAAATAACCTAAAATTGACCATAACAATCGGTTGAAACATGTCGACAGCTTGGGATGACTCTGACGTGTCTCTCTCTGACTGTGAGTTGGCGGAGGGGGAGGTCACACCTGTGGAGTTGGACACTGCTGGCCTGGAGGGGGGCAGGGGAGATGGAGCAGTCGGAGAGGGGAGAGAGGATGACTTCTACTCTGACGAGGAGGCAGTGGCACAGGGGGTCCCCAAGCCCATGCAGGAAGGGGATGAGAGTGTGAATAAGAGTAGAGAGGCGAAGCAATTGAGGGGGAGGGGCAGTGGTGGATTCCTCATCAGTGACCTCTTGTCCAAAGATGCAACCAGCAACAACAGCGACAACACTATGCGCCACCAATCTAACCCAGGTAAAAATGAAGAACACATTTATCCCATCTAGCCATTCGGTGCGGCTGATGATTTTTCCAAGCTTACTTCATTTTGCTACCCAAAAAGATATTTTGATGGCAGTTCATCGCTTTTTGCATTTTAGATTTGAAAAAATCATCTTGATAAATTTTTTGAAGTACTTTTGTTTGTACTGACAAATGATAAAAAATGATCGCGTCCTATTTTGCGGCAGAAAAATCACTATAAAAATCTTAAGAGCCGGGCTAGAAGAGAATTTCATTGAACCCAATTGACTTGGTTGTTTGCAGCATTGGACCTGTACAACTTCCACTCTCACTGTGAACTGGGGGGTGTATTGGGACATAGTTTGGCCCTATATACTTCTGTCCACAAAAACAACAACAACACTAACAACAAAAACAACAACAACATCAGCAGCAGCAGCAGCAGCCACTGTGGTGTCCCGCTGGCGTCTTCCTCTGTCTCTGGCTCCATCTCTGTGCCCCCCTCTTCTTCCATCCCCTCCCCCTTGGCACTGCAGAACTTCCTGAACAAGAAGAACAGACGCAGGAGGACAGCATTCACGCAGGTAACAATTACAGCACGCACCTCATCATCACTAGCACTTATCAATCTGTTACATAAGTTCACTACACTTCAAATTTGAGTTTTTTTGAGAACAAATTTTGCACAGGAAACTTGACAATAAATTTTGCACAGGGAAGGCTCTAAGGTTTCAGGGCGGATAAATTGTTTGAAATATCAAAAAACATTCATTGGCTTTTTATCGACCTGTTTGCTTTTGCAGGCACTTCTAGAAAACTAAAAATGCGCTTTTGAAGTCGGTCAAAAATTTTATAGTTGCACAAGCGAAAAAAGCTGTCAAAAAGAACCAAAAGGGATTTTTTATTTTGGGAGTTCACAAATTCTGAAGGAGACGTTGTCCTGTTAAAATGAGCTTCCGGTCGAATAGGGCCAGAAGTTGTTTCAGACTTCGTGCTTGTACTTCTTCTGCAGTGTTTTTCTTCTAATCTATATCTCCATGACTATCACCCATTTGACCCCCGAGAACAACTCGCACATGAAAAGTGAGAAAGATAGCACGTATAAATGTTTCCGTTTGTGAGTGAGTGTTTGCAGTGCGTAATGTGTGTTGTGTGGTTGCGCAGGGCCAGCTGAACTTTCTGGAGCGTAAGTTCCGCTGCCAGAAGTACTTGAGTGTGGCTGACAGGAGTGACGTGGCAGAGCTGCTCTGTCTGAGTGAGACACAAGTGAAGACCTGGTACCAGAACAGGAGGTCAGTAGCCCCCCCTCCCTCCTCCCCCGATTGAAGTGCTCGACTCAAGTCGAGAAGCTGTAGTTTTCTGGCTGCAAACCCGCGGTCGAGGAGCAATTTTAAATCAATCAAAAAAAGGTCGATCAAAAAATTCCCAATTTTGATCGAAGAAAACCGAAACAAAATTCAAGCACAGTCGAAACATAATTATACACAGCCTAAATTTTTAAACTTTTAAATGTTTTTTGAAAAGTTTATTCAGTTTAATCTGGAAATTGAGCAAAAGTTTTGCTCTGAAAAGATCTCACTCGAAAAATTGCAACCACCAAAACTCAATTGTGGAGATTTCTTTAACAAAAAACTAGACGTTTCAGTGGGAGCCCTTCAATTTTTTGAGCTCATAGGGCCCCATGTCCCCAGAAAAGTAATTTCTACTGAAATTTTCTCAAATATCAATTTTTGGATCAAAACTTTCAGTCCAAGTTGGTAACGAAAACAAGATCAAAAATGAAAGACTGAAGACGAAGAAAAAAAATTCGATGCGGGAATGCCGCAAATTACTGATCATTATGTTAGGTTTTCAGTTCAAGCATCATCATGAAAAATCAATTGTGTAAAGCATACACTAAGTTTTTAAATCATTTTACTGATGTTAGTTGATAAGCGAGATAGCCGAGAAAATTATCATATAAGTCGAGCACAGTCGAAACATAGGCCGAACATAGTCAAAACATAAGGCGAGCACAGTCGAAACCCGCATCGAGTACAAATGGATTTTAGTTAATATAATGGGCTTTCGAGACAACAATTACCCATAAAAAACCATCGCAGCCCAGGTCGAGGTCGGGGACTTATGTTGCGACCATTGCGACCCAAATCGGGTACGTTGCGATCATTGCGACTCAAAATGGGTATTTTGCAACAATTGCGACCCAAATCGGGTATGCTCTGACCATTGCGACTCAAATTGGGTATGTTGCGACCATTACGACCCACATCGGGTATGTTGCGACCATTGCGACTCAAATTGGGTATGTTGCGACTTTTGCGCGACCGAAGAAATTTTATGCGACTTTGCGCGACCCAAAAAAGATTTTTTGCGACTTTGCGCGACCCAAAAAGTATGTTGCGACCATTGCGACTCAAAATGGGTTTGTTGCAACTTTGCCCGACACAAATAAGGTATGTTGCGACTTTGCGCGACCCAAAGTAGATATGTTGCGACTTTGTGCGACTCAAGTTTCTTGCGGTATGATGGAATTTCGGTCGCAGAAAGTCAATTTCGGCAACCCATTTCGTTCGCAACATGAGTCGCTGACCTCGACCAGGGATATGCAAAATTTAGACCACTAAACCAGAAATATTGTCATTATTATCAATTAGTTTCAACAACGTCAATATCAAAAAACGTCATTTTGTGAAAAACTATTTTCTAAGTCTCTAAAAACACAACAACTCCGGTGACCGCTTTCTCCCCCAAGAAAAAATCGATAAAACTGAGGGAATTCGATACAATTTTCTCACTTTAATTTTTTGTTCGAGTGCGTTTTTTGATCGAATATTAAACAGCCTTATTATTTTCTGCCGGTCAAAAACGTGTTGAAATGGGTAGAAAAAATATAATTTTTCATTTTTAATTTTTGTTTATTGCTTTGAATATTATAAAAATTAGACAGTTCTTTGATTGGGTGAAAAAAGCAATTTTGCAAACGGGATGCATTTTTACATCAGCTTTAAAAAATAACAATTTTAGGTTATGAAGGTTCTTCATTTTAGGATTTTCAGCACCTGCTTTTTTTAGTTCCTTTTGTTTTCAATTTTTATTAAAAAAAAGAATGCTGCGCTTTTTAAACCTAGAAAAAAAATCAAATTTTTTGAAAAATTAAGACTGATCATAATTTTTACCCAAGAAAAGACTATTGTGTTTAGGAACTGACTAAATGAGCATCCTCGCTCCACTTTCATCAATAGCGATATATCAAATGACAAATGGATCAATATCTCAGCCAGAAAAACCACCAAAGGTTTACGATAAATAGAAAAAAGGCTTCAATAAAGTTAAGAGCAGCTAATTAAAAAAGATCTTCTTTATTTTATTTGAATCAAGTTTGATGAACGTTTCATAAGAAATTGTACATTCTAGACAGCAAATTATTAAGTGAGTTATTTTGGTGAATTTTGAAAACAAGTAGTTTCAAATATTATTGGGCTGAAAAAGTAGTTTGAAACATTTTCGCTTTTTTTTTCAGTAAACACCTGCGTTACACGGAAAAATAGTTTTTTTTTTAGCCCGTGAGGCGTTTTTGACACAATCATTGTCTTTTGACGTCCACCTATGTATACGAAATGTAAATTGGAAACCTATTCGTTATTATTATGATTTCTTGAATGTACTTCAATGTTCTCCGACTCAGACTCAGGACTTCATTTTACCAACCTTTGAATCTTTTTTAAGCATTTGCATGTTAGTTGATTCGTTCTCTGATAGAAAAGTATCCGTCTTAAAAATAACTTGTACTGAAAATTGTTGTTTATAGAATTTTTTTGAGTTCAGGGCCAAACAAAACTACCCAAAAATTGGTCTTTCTAAGCATTTCAAAATTTTAATTTTATTCTTTTTTAATTTACTGCTAGACCTCGAAACAAACAAAAATAGTGGTGTTGTTTTCATAATAATAATAAATATAGTGTTTGATTAACCCGCAAAAACTGTTTTGATCAGATATTTTTTTTTTTAGATTTTTTTCTCCCCTGTTTTGCTCTCATTTCTCTCTTGCAAAATCGTTTTCATTTCATGATAAAAGTTGATTAATAACTTGATTTATTGTAATTACTTGTACGTTTGCTTGTTGCTGGGATTTTACAAGAGCAGGTAAGTCGTCTTTTTTAGTGAAATCTGGTTGCATGTTTTTCTTAACCTACTCTAGTTGTGAATGTTTAAGAAAACTTTTTAAGTTAACGGTTTGTCTCTGTTTGAATGGTTTTGAACGCGTCATAACCGTATCAACTCGGGTAACAAGAGCAGATTTAAGATGGAGGGTTGGACGCCCCCTTCCTTAAAGTTTCGGATTGCGTTTTTTCAGTCAAAATTTTTCAAAAAATCCCCAAAACGGCTTCTTTGACCTGATTTTTCAAAATTTTGAATGCAGCGCAAACATTTTGTCCAAATGGTGTTTTTATAGTGTTCTGGGAGCACTCGGAAACTCGATTTGGTCCATGTGAAAAAATTCGACAAATTTTCATAAAGTTTTGAAAATCCGCCCCTCCTAGAAAATACTAGATCGCCCCTGCGAGATATGCAATCAAATTTGTTAGAGAGCGCATAAACCGTATTGCATATTGGCGTTTGTCTAAGAACAAAACAAATGGAAGTGTAACCTAAAGTTTGTTTGATTGCAGAAAAAATTGAGAATAAAAAAATTCTTTTAGCAAACAATTGGTTTTGAAAATGAGGGAAACTTTTTAAGTTAAACCGCTGAAATTTTAAAAAAAATGTTTTTTTTCTAGCATAATTCTTTTTTTTCGAAAAATATAATTACAAATCGCCACAATACATAATATTTTACAGCAGTCAATTAACTAACAGTTCGGACACCTAAATACTGATATTCTATTTTCTCGAAATCACCCACAAAATGAAAAATTGTTTTGAAGGTTGGTTCAATGGAAACTTAAAACATTGAAGAGTTATTTATTGAAAACAAAATATCTCGTCTCTTGGCAAAACTTTCTCACTACTCATGCGGTACATTAAAACATCAGTGCTCAAATTAAATTTAATGAGAAAAATGACATAGTGGATGCAAGAACTGGTAATAATTTGTACTAAAAAATGGTAGTAAAAACGTTTTTGTTAGCCTTTTCTTTAAATTTTTCCCCTCGCACGCAATGTGAAGCTCAAAAAATCCAGTTTGCATCGAATCAAATACTAAAAAGTCAAAAATGCTTGTTATGGCAACAGTTAAACCGGAGTGATTTCTTAGCTGGGCTTCTTTTGTCTTATAGATATTAATTGTCACAACTAAAAATAACCATTTACAAAACGTATTGCACCCGAAGCAATCCTTTGACTTTGCGCTCGGGGTTAAAAACTCTCCCATGTATAAAACAACTTCCTCAAAAACTACATCGCGCAAAAACATTCCATCACGATTATAGAAAATCGGAGATTAAAGAATGAATAAAACAATTGTTCAATTTTTCTAAGAAAGTGACTGAACTCTTGTGCTGGAGTTGGTTTTTCTCCAGACAGTTTTCGATTTTTAACTAGCAATGTTTGAAGTAGTCATATATAGAGTCCCAAAATATTGATACCCGGGGCATATCACTAGTTTTTATCTACCAACCTTTCCAGAAAATAAAAAGTTTTGCATTTGTGAAAACTTCGAAAATTGTAATCCAATCAGAATAACTAACGCTCAAAACATTTGGTTCTAGTAAAACGTAAGCGGCAAGCTAAAGCATTCCAAATTGAAATAAGACTGCTCGTATGACGGCGAAGCCCTGAACGTTCCGACTGCTTTTTGTTCCGACTTTCGGTACGAAAGTAACGGAATATTTGTGCTCGGGGTGGGTTTTTTTTTTCTTCAGACAAATTTCGACTTTTTACCTAGCCATTTTTGACGGAGTTTTTTTATATCATTCAAAAGGTATTGTTGTCCTGAGCTTAAATTTGAAAAGATATTTCACTTGTGATCACTTTTCGTAAAGTTATGGAGGTTTAAAGATTGCCATTTTGGCCTATTTGAGACAATTAACGCGCGATATATTTCGCGCTATTAACGCGTAAGCGGAGATTTAATCCGTCTTAGAAATCGTTCCAAATTAGTTAAAAGAAAATTATTTGCCATAATTGATCTATTACAAGGATCAAAATTTGTCCTTTTGTACTTAACATGGCGTGTGGTGTGATAATTAAAAAAAAAAATTGAAATTTCAGAAAAAAAAGTTTTGATTTTATTTTATTACCTTTAATTTTTTATAGGTTATTACTGCTCCATAAACCTTGAAATGCAGTCAAAACATTCAGGGCTTCGCCTTGATACGATCAGTCTTGTTAAGTTTTATGGAGCAGTAATAACATAAAAAAATTAACAGTAACAAAAAAAATGAATTTTTTTTCTCTAAAATTTGATTTAAAAAAAAAAATCATCCCCTACACGTCATAATAAGTACTAGGTGATAGATTTTGCTCCTATGAAAAAATCAATCATGGCATATCAGCTTCCGTGAAACTATTAGGAACGATTTCTAAGACGGATTAAATCTCGTTTACGCGTTAAAAGCGCGAAATATATTGCGCGTTAATTGTCCCAAATTGACCGAAATGGTAATCTTTAAACCCCCATAACTTTATGAAAATTGATCACAGGTGAAATATTTTTTTCAAATTTCAGCTCAGGACAACATTATTTTTCGAATGATGTACAAAAAATTCTGTCAAAACTGCTAGTTAAAAAAACTAAATTTGTCTGAAGAAAAAAAACCCACCCCGAAACAAATATTCCGTTTTTTTTTCGTATCGAAAGTCGGAGCAACAAGAGTGCTCGTATCAGGGCGAAGTCCTGAGTGTTCCGACTGCATTTTAAGGTTTTATGGAGCAGTAATAACATTAAAAAAACTAAATGTAATAAATTAAAATGAATTTTTTTTTTAATTTGATTTTTTTTATGAAAATCATCGCCCCACACGTCAGTTAAAGTACAAAAAGATTTTTAACAAACCAATTATGGCAAATAGGCTTCTTTTAACCAATTTGGAACGATTTCTAAGACGGATTAACTCTCCGCTTACGCGTTAATAGCGCGAAATATATCGCGCGTTAATTGTACCAAATTGGCCAAAATGGCAATTTTTAAACCCCCATAACTTTACAAAAAAAGATCACGGGTGAAATATCTTTTAAAATTTGAGCTCAGGACAAAAATAACTTTTGAACGATATAAAAAAATTCCGTCAAAAATGGCTGGTTAAAAAGTCGAAATTTGTCTGAAGAAAAAAAAAACCCACCCCGAGCACAAACTTTCCGTCACTTTCGTATCGAAAGTCGGAACAATGACGCGTACAGCTTGCGCTTAATTGTACCTAACCAAATGCAAAACAGGTGAATTGGGACGGATCAAAAGTTTTAAAAAAAATCTCGTTTTTGTTATATTTTTGTTGAACATTTTCAAAACTGTTTTTATCGAAAACGTTTTCATCGACTCGGAACATTCAAGGTTTTGCTCTGGTGCGCGTAGCCTTCATCACATTGAAAATTGCTCGTCAGCTAGTAGTTTCCTCATTTAGAATCTGATGTTTTCGCCGAAAACCTGCACAATTTGTTGATTTAGAAATGTGAATTTTACAATAAAAGCGTGCGCAAAAATTATTTAAGTAGGATTTTTGGTACGAGCAGTCTTGCTAAACATTTTTCTTTAATCATAAAATTTCAATTTTTGAGCGGATGAATGAATGTACTTCATTAACATGCTGTTGGGGGAAATTTAGAGGTCTTCAAATAAAAACTAATTCGAATTTGATTAATTTCATTAAAGGATCGTTTTACAAATTGAACAATAGCACTTTGGGGGATAATCATAATCTGGCGGGATAAAGTTGAGTTTGGACTTGATTACTTTGAGGTTTCACTTCTCATTAAACGATTTATCCCCTGTGTTTAATTGTGTTTGGAAAATCAAATCGCAAATCCTGCCAGAAAAACCAGCTCCATTTCCCTTTGATAATTTCCCCGTTGTTTCCTATCAAAAACACCAAAACACTCTTTGAAAAACAACCGCTAATTTCAGTTTTAACCTAATGAAAAGGGCAGTTGTCTTTGTGTTTTGACGAGATTGGCCTTTGTGGCGGACAATGGAGCTGGCAGATTTGAGGCGAAACGGCCACTGGTAATTGTAGCTAAAATACTTAAAAGCCGATCTTCAACTTATTAATCTATATTAAATTCCATCCGTTTTCAGGACTTAGGAGGCAACTGATCCCCATAAAGCAAAAAGCCACTCTATTGTCTAGCAATGCTGATTGGAGCGCCTTTTGCCTCTTTCAACCCCCAATTTATATTTCAACACCCCCCTCTCCATTTATGGGGGAATGGAACTACATCCTATTGTCCTGGTAGGGTAACCGTGGTTGTATCGATCGCAAAAAGACTCTATTGAAACGGGGGGAAGAAATTACGCTTATCTGGATTTCCAGACACACAACATCAACATCAACTGCGCCGTTCAGTTGATTTCTTAATGAAACAGAATTTAATACCATAACTTCTCTCAGACCCGCTTTCAATTTTTCAAACAAATCCCTGATTTTTTGAAAAGTTTTGAAAATATTCAGCTGTGTGCTCGAGCAAATGTCTCGGGAGATGTTTTTTTTAGTTACAAATGACAAGTGTTAAGAATACATAATTTGTCTTTTGACTTCAATTTTTGATAATTTGTTTTTGATGAACTTTTGATTTTTGAGTATAATAAGTGATTGATTGTTGGATTGATTGACTGGATAGGACGAAGTGGAAGCGGCAGACCAGTGCAGAGGAGAGGCTGGAGGAGCTGGAGAGCCACAGATGCCACGAGCCAGACTGTCCCGCCAACACCATCACCACCCACCCCACAACCGCCACAGCCACACTCCGCACCACACACAACAACACAAACAACACGCAAGTGGCCAGTGAGTGCTGTAATTGAGTTTGAATTACACTCAAAAAAATGTTAAGGTAAAATTACCCTAAATGAGTTAAGGTAAAAAAAATTAAGGTAAAATTTACCCTAACATTACCTTAACTTTACCTTAAAAAATTGGTAGGGTAAAATTTACCTTAACCGAATTAAGGTATTTTACCTTAACTTAACCTTAATTTTACTAAAAATATTTAGAAATGCATTTAACTAAACAGGAATAAGGTATTTTAAGATAAACATTGGATCTCGTAGTCCACCTATCAAAGGTTCAGTTTAATATATTTAATATTTTAGTGTAATTATAAAAATATGACAACGGCCTTGATAATATTCAACGAAAGAGTGCAAACAAAACAAGACTGCTCGTATCAGGGCGAAGCCCTGAAAGTTCCGACTGCCTTTTAAGTTCTTTTGAGCAGGAATAACCTGAAAAAGTTAAATGTAAAAAAAAGAATATAAAATGAAAAAAAAAATTCTAAAACATTTTTTAAATTTTTCGTAAAAGTCATCACCCCACACGCCATTTAAAGTACAAAGTGATAGATTTAGCTCTTATTTCCAAGTCACTATGGCAAATAAACTTCCTTGAACCAATTTGGAACGATTTCTAAGACGGATTAAGTCTCGCTTACGCGTTAAAGCGCGAAATATATTCCCGCACCGTGCGTCCATGGATTCTGATCAATTTTAATGGATTCCCGAGACAAAAATAATCGATTTTAATCCATTACAGATGTAAAATTCAGACCACAAAATTGATTATATTGCCCTTATAATCGATTATTTTTGAAAAAAAAAATCCATTATAAACCATTATAATCGATTGTAATCCATTATTTTTGTCACTGAAATCGACTATTTTTGCCAAGATTTTGCCATTATAATCTGATATTTTTTGTTAAATGGTGGGGGGGGGGGGTAAAATTGGGGGGGTTTGTAGTAGAAAAAACAGTAAATTGAAGTGTTAAACTGCGATGAATTAGAAAAGTAAAGACAAAAAATTTTTAATATTCCTTTTGATATGTAACGTTTCATGAAACGTAACACGTAGCAACTGCACTAAACATGTAATGAGATCACTTTGAAGAAAATATTAAATTTCATGAAAAAACACCTCGAAAAAATCCATTATAATCGATTATAATGGATTTTATTAGCATAAAAAATATTAGGATTATAATACATTTTTAATGGACTATAATCGATTATAATGGATTATATTGACAAAAAAATATTAGGATTATAATCCATTTTAAATCGATTATAATCGATTATTCTGTCATTTTATAGATACTGGCCATAATATGACTATATAATCGATTATGATCCATGGGCGCTCGGTGCGGGTTGCGCGTTAATTGTCCCAAATTGGGCGAAATGGCAAACTTTAAACCCCCATTACTTAACGAAAAATGATCACAAGTAAAATATCTTTTCAAGTTTGAGCTCAGGACAACAATACGTTTTTAATGATAAAGAAAAATTCTGTCAAAAATGGCCAGTTAAAAAACGAAATTTGTCTGAAGAAAAAAAAAACCCACCACGAGCACAAATATTCCGTCACTTTCTTATCGAAAGTCGGAACAATAACGGCCGATGAAACGTAATAGAATGTTGGAAACAGTTAGTTTTTTCCGTGGTTTAATCAGAAGCTTTTCCAGGTGGACAGGACAACATGAACAACAACAACAACTCAGCAGTCTCCTTACTCAACATGTCCCATCATGGCCCCTCTACACTGCAGATGGACATACAACACCAGGGCACCATGGCTCCCCACGGCATCGGCATCCCCATCAGTCTATCCAGTGCACTGGCCAACATGCGACACCAGCAGCAGCCACTCACCCCACAGCAGGGGGGCATGGACTCATGTTCCCCCCTCCCCAAACACAACAGAGGAACTGCACCTCACAGCGCAAGGAAGATCTACTCAAGGTCCGGTTTCAATAAAATATACATTTTTCTATTGATCTCATTCTTCTAACTCCTAATTCGTATTTTTATCTCAATTTTGATTCAGAGATGATTAAAATTCAGAGATAGTTTAATCATAGCCTCGAGTTAACTTCAATACCTTTCGATCCATTTTCAGTAAGAAAATTGTAGATTGAGTAAATCGCCTTTCGACTTTGTTTGACAGTTGTTTTGAGAAGCACAGTAATTAAGATGGGCCGCAGGCATTGCGAGGCAGTCGCTTTTATAGTATTTAAGGTCACTTTTGAAGCGCTTTGAACAGACTTTGTCAAAATGTGTAGTGCTAATAAGATGAGAAGATAATGGAGAATGTCCACTCAATCTATCGTGCAAAATGGGCAATTAACAAAAGGGCTACGGTTTAAAAAGGAAGGGGGTAGGCAGGGGGGGGGGGGTTCAAATGGAAGAGTAAATAGTAGTGAGGCATGGAGTGAGTATAGTCTCTTCTTCTCTCTTCGCAGTTTGTCTGTTCCAAGTTCACCCTGTCAATTAGACTGAGACACTTTAGCAGGTCTACAAATGGGCTCTCTATTCCACAAGTCATCCACACTATCAGTCGGCCACCGTTCAAGGCTCCCTCTCAACTACCCAAACATATACACAGAATACAATAAATGCAATTAGATTAAGTCGAAAATAATAACTACTTTGGCGAATATTTCTCAACTGGTTAATAAAAAGATTATCCCTTTGATATCGTTGATACTTCTTGAAAACTTTTATATCTCTGAAAATTGACATTGATTCAAAATCCATCAATATGCAAATTGGGAAATTATGAGGATCAAATAAGTAATTATAAGAAGGAGCAGCAATCGCTGCAATTTCATGCCTGGATGAAATTCAATCATGCTTGTAACACATTTTAGCTTAATAGAAATAACTTTTAAGTAAATGGTTCAATGGTTCAATGAATTATAATTACTCTAGTACCAGGAAAGCAACTTAAAGTTTTGTTTTTGTCTTTGCCAAAAAATGTGTAGAATTCCAGCCGTGTTTTGCGTTAACAGTGAAAATTTGCGATAAAAATGAAAAAAAAAAACATTGCAATTTTCTAGCCCAATTTTTCTTGCCTATATCTTTCTCAAAAGGAAAAATCAAAGTTAAGAAAATATCATTTAGAGTAAAAGCAGCGGCGGCACGAAATCAATCAGCAAGTTATCAGTGTAATAAACGATGAAGCTTCTTTGAGTAGTTGATCACATGAAAGAATAGCCTGGCATGTTTAGGTTACTTCTGGACATGGAGCATCGGGACTGGTGAGTTGTGCGGCTGAGTTGTCCCCCGCCATGTGCAAAGTGTCCCCTGCCTCACTCTTCATGAGTCACCAACACACCACCCTACTCAACTCATTCATCTCAACAGGGCAGCCAGGGGGAGTAGCACCTGGCTCCCTATCCCCCCACTCAGAACTGGCATCAGGCAAACACAACCCCCTATCCCCCTTCCCACTCTCTCTTCCGCTCACCCTTCCCCACCCACACAGTGGCCAACTGGCAGCAGCCGCCCTGGCCATGAAGCTGCAGCTACTCGCCCGACACAACCTCTCAGCCTGATATGCACTCACCAATGGCCACTTCGCTTCATTATTCTCAATGTAGTCTTTTCAAAAGTTTCTATCCAAATTTAAGAACGTTTATCTCTAAATTCAAACTCAAGTCATAAATTACTTCATTTTATGTATATACCCTCTATATACTTCATTAAAAATTAAAATTTTGACAGAAATCAAAATCTTTTCGTCAGAATTCATTTTGACAGAATTCAAAAGTTTTTCCGAGAAATTCTGGGAACCAGGAGCAGGAAAGGTCTAAAGCCTCTCATGTGTTGGAGATTTTTTCAAAAAAAAAATTGATCGCGGATCTCTTTAAAGTGAATATAAATTACTGAGCTCTCTTGCAACCCCAAAATACCAGAGCTGGTCGAGTCGATTTTCATCGGCCTTAAACATCATATTCACAATTACTTGTTCTCAACAAGTGAAACATGTGAAAAGATCAAAAACATTTTTGTTCCGACTTTCGATACGAAAGTAACGGAATATTCGTGCTCGGGGTGGGTTTTTTTTTCTTCAGACAAATTTCGACTTTTTAACTAGCCATTTTTGACGGAATTTTTTCATATCATTCGAAAGGTATTGTTGTCCTGAGCTCAAATTTGAAAAGATATTTCACCTGTGATCATTTTTCGTAAAACTACGGAGGTTTAAAGATTGCCATTTTGGCCAATTTGGGACAATTAACGCGCGATATTTCGCGCTATTAACGCGTAAGCGGAGAGTTAATCCGTCTTAAAAATCATTCCAAATTGGTAAAAAGAAGATTATTTGACATATTTGGTTTGTTACAAGGAGCGAAATCGATCCTTTTGTACTTTATATGGCGTGTGGGGGGATGATTTTTCATAAAAAAATTTCAAATTTTAGAAAAAAAACTTTTGTTTTATTTTTTTTTCATTTATTTTTTTTAAATGTTATTACTGCTGCTCCATAAACTTTAAAGGTAGTCGGAACATTCAGGGTTTCGCCCTGATACGAGCAGTCTTGTTAGCCTTTGTAATTCTTTCAAAAACTTTAGCATTTTAATGAGCTGATTTGAAGCATTTTGTCGAATATTAGAAGCAAAATACAGGAAAATTCGGAAAAATTGAATTGAATATTTTGGCTTTTCAGTCTGCATTCAGTCTGAATTATGTGGTATAAATTGTGTTTTATCGTTTGGGTGTGTTAGTAACGTGTTATAATTTGCTATCAAAGGTGCTTCTAGGGTTTCTCTCGAGGGCAAGAGAAAATTTTCAAAAGTTTTCTGTGTGAGCTCTCAAGATTCAAAATCAGTTTTGAGGAGATTATTGCATGGCAGGGATCTAAATCATGAAAGGCGCGCATCGGACGTAAGTTTGCGTTACCTAATTTTGATTGGCAGATTAAGCAAGATGTTAAATATTTTCTTCTTGGCTGTTGTTAACGCAATATCAGAAACCGCCATCCGCTTGATCTGATGTTTCTCAAGAGCCAGGATGTCGACATATGCGATAGATGTATCCATAGTTAATATTGCCGACCCCAAGCCAACTACAATCTGCGGTAGTTATTGATAAATTTCATTCAATTCATGCAACCCAGGAGTGCTTGAGCAATCTTGCAGCAAAATAGTGCTTTTCGATGAAAAACAGGTCAATACTTGGCTAGGCACAACCTTGAAAACTTGGTCAAAGAAATTGGTACCCGTCTGAAAAGTTGAGTTTGGGAAGAAGTAAAGATTACTAGTGAATTACAATGAAAAATTACAAATATTTTTCGTAAAACTAATGTAAACCAAAATCAGTAGAATAGATTATACAAACAGAGGCGAACCGGAGCTTCGCATCAGTTGGGACACCACGCATGCACAGCATTGCTAGCCAGCAAATAAAAAATAACAAAGTCAATTAGAAATGTTTTGGGAAAATATAACTAACATTAGAAAAATAGTAAGGAAACACAATAAACAGTATTAAATAAGTCTTTACTTTTTTAACGATATGACGATTAGCCATTAAGCCGACCTCAAAGTTTTTTATCTTTGAAATTCAGGACATTACTGACCATTGATCAAAAATTTGTGAATCAATCTGTGCATCATTCTATCTCCGTGTTAACCTTACTAGTCGATTAGTATTTGAACTATCTTTCACATTGCTATTAATCAGCTAACTTGACGCCTTACTTAGTCATAGAAAATTGTTTGTTTTGTAGAAACTTGGGTCTACTACCAAACTTATTGTTCCGACTTTCGATACGAAAGTAACGGAATATTTGTGTTCGGGGTGGGTTTTTTTTCTTCAGACAAATTTCGACTTTTTAACTAGCCATTTTTGACGGAATTTTTTTTATATCATTCGAAAAGTATTGTTGTCCTGAGCTCAAACTTGAAAAGATATTTCTTCTGTGATTGTTTTTCGTAAAATTATGGGGTTTTAAAGATTGCCATGTTTGCCAATTTGGGACAATTAACGCGCGATATATTTCGCGCTATTAACGCGTAAGCGGAGAGTTAATCCCTCTAAGAAATCGTTCCAAATTGGTATAACGAAGCTTATTTGCCATAATTGGTTTGTTACAAGTAGCGAAATCTATCCTTTTGTACTTTATATGGCGTGTGGGGAGATTCTTTTTACTTAAAAAAATCAAATTTTTGAAAAAAAAAATTCATTTTGTTTTATTACTTTTAATTTTTTAATGATATTACTGCTCCATAAACCTTAATGGGCTGTCGGAACAATCAGGGCTTCGCCCTGATACGAGCAGTCTTGTTGATGTTTTAATTTTGTCGTTCGTCAGTCTCCTCTGTTGGAATTTACATATCATTGAGTACTCTTTCTATTTTATCTATCCCCTGATCCAGAAAATTTTTAAATTTCCCAAGGAATTGCGGTGAAGTGTATGAGCTTAACATTGAATTCCTATTTTGTTGCGAAATAATTTTCACATGATTGCGAAAAGTGCAACCGCTTTAGGATCTGTTTTGTTTGGTCATTTTTCGTGAAATCGCTCTTAGTTAAGTTAAAATGTTTCTTTTTTTTTCAACCGAACCTTCGTTTCAACCAGTCTAAAATAAATTTTGCCTTCTGTCTTTAACGTTTATTAGTCGCAGTAAATCTCGCTTAAAATTAAATGCGATTTTTGAGCCAACAATAGCCGCTCTAAGTCACTCATTGAGACAAAACAAAAATAAACAAGACTGCTCGTATGAGGGCGAAACCCCGAATGTTCCGACTGCCTTTAAAGTTTATGGAGCAGCAGTAATAACATTAAAAAAATTAAATGAAATAAAATAAAACAAAATTTTTTTTTCTAAAATATGAAACTTTATTATGAAAATCATCCCCCCACACGCCATATAAAGTACAAAAGAATAGATTTCGCTCCTAATAACAAATCAATTAGGGCAAACAAGCTTCGTTCAACCAATTTGGAACGATTTATAAGACGGACTAAATCTCCGCTTACGCGTTAATAGCGCGAATTATATCGCGCGTTAATTGTCCCAAACTGGTCAAAATGGCAATCTTTAAACCCTCATAACTTAACGAAAAATAATCCCAAGTGAAATATCTTTTCAAATTTAAGCTCAGGACAACAATACCTTTTGAATGATATAAATAAATTTCGTCAAAAATGGCTAGTTAAAAAGTCGAAATTTGTCTGGAGAAAAAAAAACCCACGCCGAGCACAAATATTCTGTTACTTTCGCATCGAAAGTCAGAACAATTACGGTAAAAAAGATGACAAAAAATTTTGACAACATTTAAGTCAAATTTTTGCGGTTAACTGAGCCGATGATTCATCAAAAACAAAGTCAGAATTTCCGAGGACGTGTTTTTTCGATAATAATGTATTGTTATTAACAAATCAACAGTTTAGGTTAATGCATTCAAGGCTGGCTTCTACACGACTTTATAATACTGAATTATAAGGTAAAGGGTAAAGGTGACAGTTATACATACCATCATGGTTTAACAACAACAATGTTTTTGTTATTTGTTAATTGATCAATTGAAGGTTTTAAATTTATTTTAATTTTGATTTTATATTTAAAGTTTTTCTAATAATCTAATGTTTTTAGGTAAGCTTTCGAATTTTAGACACATGTTCCTGCAATCGAAAACTCTGGTGAGTAAAATCCATAAACCTGTCCAATACTTACTTTTTTCGATCTATTACTCAAGGTCTTTTCATACCTTTGGAAGACGCTTTTTTTTTCAGTTAAAGAACTTGTGTTTTCAGTGAAAAAAAAATCAACTTTTCAGCAAATTATTCAACATTGGCCATGTAACCTAATTGAAAAATCCGTTTTGGCAAACTTGGCAATTTTTGTACCATTAATTGAAACTGCTGCTTACCACTTTTGCGTTCATGGTACCTTTCCACAGACTTGACAGAAGAATTTATTTGAGCCAATTTGAAAAACTAATAAATTGCTATAGAGAAAACGAGCCTCAGCTGTAACAACAAATTAAAAACGATACATTAGTAATGTGCTAAAAACTTCACACTAGACTTTTTATTTTGAAATTCCTAAAAATTTTTCAATGCTCAAAAATTCATACTACTTCTCATCCACCATACCAGCAATTGGGACTTTAGAACTGTCGCATGTTGTAAATTTTTGCCTCTCAATCTAACGAAACATCGCACGTTTAATTTTTTCAAAAGTTACTTGTAGTTTTTCATTCTAAAGAAAATCAACTTTGCGCGTGTTTTTAGACTTACTGTGGGACATACATCGTTGCTCTAATTTAATAGTGGAATAATTAGCCTGCTTGATAATGATTTTAACAAAAAGCTTGAACAAAAACTCATCGCTCAGTGAAAATATGCAGAAACCATTAGAGATTATATGCAAAAGGAAGATGTCATAACTGTGCGCCCACCTTATCTCACTTCACGAACCGACCGTAAATGGTATCTACCTCGTCATCAAATGTTGAAAACAAACAAACAGTACAGGTTTCGACGTTTTCTCAATGAGGCATCAAAGTAATATAAAATTTTTCTGAATACACGTCTCTGAGTTCGATCGTATCTTCTGCAATTTTTTTAATACTTCTAAGTTTCCGAAAAGATGGCAATAAGAGTTTGCCGTTTTTGCCAATAGCAAAGGAATGCTCTCCAGGTTGAAGTACACGGTCGAGAT